ATTTCAACATTTTGTTCTTATTAACAAACGATTTTGCTGGCGTACTCAATCAAATACAAGTAATGTGTTGTTGTCTGCTGCTGCAACATTGTTGTTGTTATCTAACAAATTTAAACGGCACCCTGCCACACGCTGTTGCATATAGCTGTGCTCGCTTGCGTGGAAAATCATACAAACCGCCGACACCGCACTATCGCTTACAACAACACAGAAAAGTGGATACAATTACAACAGCAACAATGAGCTCAAGTGCTAAGTAAAGTAAAGTGGAAGGCAACCGCTTGTTAACATGGAAATCTATTAATTCCATTTAGTGGCGATGACGGGCGTTTTAATAAGCCAGTACAACAACACAAAAAAAATACAAGAACAACACAAATTATGTGCATAGCGTACAATTTATGCGTACAATAAAAGCAACAACATCACTAAATGCAACCAAGCACCAACCAAAGTACAAAAATAACTACTAAAAAATAAAATACGTTAACTTCGGCTGCAACGAAGGTAGAATACCCAACACAAATAATCTCAATTATATTCTATATTGGTGCGATCTGAACAATATGTTGGGGGATTGTAGCGTTGCCTCGAACCATAATTCATATGAAATTGTGACAAGATATCACGATAAATAAAAAAGTTTTTTATACAAGAACTTGACTTTTAACGGTCAATTTGTATGGCAGCTATATGGTATAGTGGTCCGATAGAAAAAATGTCTTTCGATATTTTAGTGTTACCGCAGACAATAACTCATGGTAGGTTAGGTGTAGATATCTCGTGAAATAATCAAATTTTCCATACAAGAACTTGATAATGATCGGTCAGTTCGTAGGACAGCTATATGCTACAGTGGTCCGCTAACGTCCGTTCCGATAAATAAGCCGCTTCTTTGGGTGTTTTCTGCCACGTGTGCAAAATTTTTGATCGACATCTCAAAATCTAAGCGACTAGTTCGCTTTTGTACAGACAGACGGACATGGGCATGGCTGAATCGACATCTATATATATGTATATATATATATATATATAATATATATAACATAAACATTTTATATGGTCTCCGTCGATTTTTTTCTGGGTATTACAAACTTCGTAGCAAACTTTATATCCTGTTCAGGGTATAAAGGACTTTCTGCAGTGAAGTGGCGCGCGTGTTGCATACATTGCGGCGCTTATGAATTTTATTAATTTTTGCGGTCTTCGCGGCGGCGTAAACTGAAAATGGCACCGAAAAATAAAAGAAAACAAAAAATGCACTGAAAAGCAGTCGTGGGATAGAAGGAGTTTGCCACATAGCTTCCTTGTTATTCTGTATTCTAGTGTAGAAGTAGGCATCATGAACCAGTCAGCGCTCAAGTGTTGATTAAATTGTTGCGGAAATTACTTTGATGTTAGTTGGTAGCATGCAACATATGCAAAGTCGATGCAAGTGACACTGAAAAAACAAACACTTATATACATTGTTTGAAAGCAAAGGCGTTTGTTCGTTGTGTGCAGGAAGAAACTTGTGAAATTATTTATGGCTCAAACTCATGTGAGTGAATTAATTAAAATAATCTGTTAGTGGCTGCTTATTGAATACTTTTTTGGGTTTATGTGGCAACAACAAAGTTAAGTGAAACATAAGTGCTGTTGACAGACCATGTCAACGATTGCTACAAAAACTTTCAACCTCGTGATCTTATGTCTATAAATTTAAAAATATTCCGTTTATCATAGTTAGTTGCAGACAAAACTCTTCACTGAATTTATACTCTAATAATATACTCTAATCGGTTAAGCTCATGATTTAATGTGTTTGGTTTTTTTTTTATTTATTACGTTACGTTACGTAATAAAATACCGCTACGTTTATAGTACACAGATCGCCACAACAGGACGGCACGAACCAATTATTTATTAAGTTGCCACCTTTTTCTAAAGCACAAAAAATAAATTTTAAAAATTATAAGATAAGAAATCGTATAAACAGAAACCTTTCAGAAGCCTTGAATAAAAATCGTTTTTGAAAAAGGTTGCCAACTGTTGGAAAAGTGTAAATCAGAAAAAACTATATAGGCTAATAAATCGTACAAATAGAAGAGTTTCGGAAATTTTAAGTAAACTTTTTTTAAGAGCTGCCACCTTTTCGAAATTTGTAAAATATTTATTTTGATTAAATTACCGATTTATTATGTCATCAAAGTAAATACAAGGCCTTCATTAAAAAAAGCGTTCAAGAATGGTTGCCACCTTTTCAAAATTATAGGCCAAACTGTTAGAATAAAATATTATAGTTATATATTGAGCTGCTTAACACAGTTGAAAAAATTTTTAAGAATGGTTGCCATCTTTTCAAAAAATGTTATCCAATTTAAATATAAAAATAAATTAAACAATTTAATATGGACTTACTGCCACATGCTGTATTTAAGGACCCAAAGAAAGTGAATTAAAAAGACTGAAAACTTTAAAAATCTTTTTGAAATGCCATTTTGAGATGGGATTGGGAGATTATTCATTTAAATGGCCATGATAAGTGCATTAACACTATATAGTTGTAAAAATTATAAGTTTTAGGAAAGTTTTGTCAGAGAAGTGAAAAGCAAATCGCCGAGTGAATTCCTGATATAATGAATTGTTCAATTTCGAATGTCACAGGCAGCTTAATCTGGCGAATGGCATGGCTGAGCGATGACTCTCATTTCTTGTTTGAAAAGTCAGTCACAATTGAACATTACGAGGAATCGCTTCACGTAGACGAATCAAACGATCAATTAGCAATATGGCCATTTTGAGCCGGTTTCAATATTATATTTATAAACACATTCTTCGTCACCAGTAATGATGCATTTCCTTAATGTAGGGTCCTCAACTACGTTATCAAGCATTTCTTTGGCGACCTCTGCTCGACGTCATATTTGTTAAAGATTCAAGTTCAGCATTCATACCCAAAACATTAACCAAAATTTGTTGAGTCTTTTCATAGAAGATGTTGAGGTCCTCTAATATCTCTCTGATGTCAAGACGACGATTTTGAAGCATTATTTTAAAATTTTTTTCGATTTTATCGTCATTACCATAGGTGGCTGGCAGATATGCATCAGATAAATTTTCGATGACTTCACGACCTTCACTGAATGCTTTTTGCCACTCAAATACTTGTGTTCGCGTTAAAGTAGACTCCTCAAAACACTTCTACAACATTTTCAACGATTTCATAGCCGTGATTCTACTCAAAACACAGGTGACGCTAGGTATGAATTTTGAAACATTCTGACTTAGTTTTAAAACTTTTGATATTTAAAGAGATATACATAACCGAAAAACAACTACAAATAAGAAAGCTAATATAAGAGAAGTAACTCAAAGTGTTCACTCGTAGCTCCAACAAGCATCATTTAATTAGAAAACTGTAGGATTAAATTTAAAAGAGGGAAATCAATATCTCCCAACGTCCTAACATGTATGGTATCTTAAGCCTTCTAATAAGCTCTTCATGCTGATACGACGAATTTATTTTTTTGAGGAGTTTGCGTTTTTAATTCCACTCATACAGTCTAGTAACTACATTTCTTTATCATCATTTCTTTTATTATTAAATCTGTGACAATAAAAGTTACGCATTTTCCTTTAATCCCGTAAGCCTTAAATATTGAAATATTTCTTACGACAATTTCAACTCAAACAATAATTCGCCGACTAAGCTTAGCTTTCTGAAATCTTCAGCCCAAATATAGGCGCATATACTTTTCTTGCTTTCAAGTCAACACAAACTACTTGCTTATGCTATGTATATATTTATCTCTTCTTGCCTCCTTTCCTGCCGACTCGCAAAGATCCATTTTAAATTGAAAATTTTGTTTGTTAATTCGCTTACAACAGCATACAGCAAATATAGTTATGAGTTTGGTACTCAACTTTGAGCACACAGCAGTACATCGCTACAATGCTTACTTTTCACTTATGTTGCAGCATTTTAGGCGCACAACAGGCGCGGTAGTTTTGCGAGTTACCTGCATATTGCGCTGAATTTTTTATTTGTGTAGAATTTTTTTTTATTATTTAAAAATTTGATATCTCTAGAAGTATACACTTTTATATATTTATTTGATATATTCAGAAGTACCAGCGCCTTACTGCGCTTTACAATAACCATTGCAAATACTTGATGTGAGATGTTATGAGGCCTACTTACTTGTAGGCAATATAAAATTTCAATTTTCCCTCATAAAATTATATACATATACTGAAGATATAAATATTTATAACGTTAGTTGTGTGCGCGGCGAATGTCAAATTTTGTTTACTGCTTTGTGTGAAATGCAAAAATGTGAAATGCAGAAATGCATAAAATGGCAATACAGTTAGAGATTGCTATTGAAGGTTCACTATATATAGAGTTGATAGTTAGGTAGGGGAGTAAAGCGTGCTAGCTGAGAGGCTGTCATCTTTGCTGTAATGTCAACATTTTGAGTGCAATTGCATAAATAAATGCCCGACCTACATTTAGGCGGCCTGTCTTTCTTACACAACACATACACACACATATATACTGGAGCGCACATACATATACACATACATGTACGCGCGCATAACACATCACATCTCAGCTTTACAAGTGCATAACTGTCTTTTATAATTTTACGAAATGTGCGCAATTTCCATTGAAGGATTAAGTGCTGTCAGGCAAGGCAAATGTGGCATAAATATTTTTGCTTTATTTTTATTTTTATGTTTTTGTTGCTTAAACGTTCATAAATTTTTTATAAATATTAAAATGTTAAAAGCAAAAAAAAAAGGTCTTGCTTACAACAGCTGCTTTGTAGCGCTGAACGTTTGAAATTTTAAATGCGCCGGCATGTATGCTTCATTTCTGTGGTATATAATAAATACATAATATGTTGGCAACTCTGTACAAACGCTTTGAATATTTATAGTTAATTTAAAAAGTAGATTTATTGCTTTAATTACCATTAAAGAAAATATTGTTTTTATTGCATGTGTACTTATAGGTTGAAGAGTTGCAATTCAGTTATAAAAAGCTCGGCATTAAATGATACATATGGGTGATACTATGTGCCACGCTTACACATATGAGCAACTGAAGGGAAAATTGTGGGAAGGCCTTTACGCAAAAAGGTAACTGAAAACTTTTATATAATTTTATTTGCAAAAAAAAAAAAAAAAAAAAAAAACAATTAAAAGAGCAGCGGATAGTTACGTTGAAGCAAAAATATTGCTGAGGAGCTAACATATTAAAAATTACTGGCGAGTCGAGCTCTTTAATAGAAGAAAAATACTTGAGAGGTTGATAATTATTATTTAATAATAATTATTTTTTTTATGTTAGTGAAAACTGTGAGCAATTAAAGTCTACGGTCTCATATTATTTTTATATTTGTTTAGCTAATTTAGAAGAATTATAATATTTCTATAGCCTCACGTCTCATACTACCTATTATATATTCTATAGTCTATAAAGTTTAGCCAGTCTAAGGCAGTGAGTGTAGTCATGGTCCAAATAAAAGCAGACTCGGTGAAATTTGGTCACCGGAAATGAGTCTGCGATAGATTGCCAGTTTCCAACAGTGTGTTTTCAGTCGCCGTAAGCTAGATATTCCTTAGAAATAATGAATTTATTGCTAAAAGTGACTAGCATTATTTTAAACACTTGTAATCTTATTGTTTATTTTTAAATTTAAATGTTTTGAGCAAGTTCTTAACATTTGGGAGTTAATATGAACGCTAAGCTTAATTTTAGTCTTTATATTGATACCAGGGTCTTCAACGCAAAAGCTATCCACAGTTTTGTTAAACGTTGGTCTAAAGAATTTAGAGATCCGTATATTACTAAAACACTTTTTACAACTTTTGTTAGATCTATATTAGAATATGGCTCTGTTGTATGGAACCCTAGCTACCAAACCCATTCTGACAAGTCTGTCTCAGTCAGAGTCTGCTCAAAAACATTTTTTTTTGTTTGCCTTAGAGCATTTCTGTAGGGATTTTAGGGTAAGTCTACCTCCATACACTTGTCGTTTTACACTTATAAATCTACCTACACTTTCTAGTCGTAGGGAAATGCTTGGCATAATATTCTTAGTGAAAATCTTAAATGGAGCAGTTCGCAGTTATTTTCACCTGTCTGAAATTAAATTTAACATGCCGGTTGACTCTTCGAAGCAGTTTAGTCATTTACTGTTAAAATCCAGTAGTTCAAATTTCGAACTAAACGAACCATTCGGGCGTATGTGTCATGATTTTAGTTCTCATTCCAGTACATTTGACTTATCTGACTCACTTTTCAAAATTAAAAAAGACTTTATTGCTTTCTCCTAATAAATAAAAATGTAACAATTTGTTATATCGTAACTATAAATCTGTATCGTAACTATAAATAAGCTGTTGAAATTTTTGTTTCTGTAGCTGAGCAGTTTTGGTTCTCAACACTTAAAAACTCGCTTGGCTTTACTGGCTCGGCACGTATGCGGATTACGCCCTTCGCGTCGGTTGGGCGGGAGGATGGTAATCGTTGGGTCCAATCGGTCCCTCAACGATAGTACACGGCATTAAGGTTTATTCTGCTCACCTTGCTTATAGTTACAAAAACATGTATGGTCTCATAAATATCTAGTATGGAAGCCCTTAGCAGCAATCTAAAGCTAGGTAACATACAGAATAGAAACCAAACATGAGATTAAAAATGAATCAGATGATAGGTGATAGACAAGATCTAATTTGTACCTTTGAATATTTACCCACATTGTTGGCTTCTTCTTAGCTACACTATGTGCTTAACATAAAAGATTACCAGAAAACTTTAACTTCGGTTGCACTGAAGCTAAATACCCTTCACAAATAGAAAATATTTCTTACATTTTGATGATGATTTTTCCATGATTTTGATCGGTTAGTGTATACGGCAGCTATATGACAGAGTGATCCAATCTGTTTTTGTTTTGTTTTATAAAATAATACATGCCAAATTTCGTTAGTATATCTCGTCAAATACAAAAGTCTTCCATACAAGGACTTGATTTTGATCGTTCAGTTTGTATGACAGCTATATGCTATAGTAGTCCGATATCGACGGTACCGACAAATAAGCAGCTTCTTGGAGAGAAAAGGACGTGCACACAATTTCAGATCAAAAACTCAAAATCTGGGGGTCTCCGACGTTTACTTCTTGGTGTGGCAAACGTCGTGGCAAACCTATTATACCCTTATCAGGGTATTAAAAAAAATGAAGTTGACTGAAAAAGGGATAGAAAAAGAACGAAAGCAGTCTTTATTGTGCTGCACGCATGTACCCAATTACACGATCTTGTTCCAAAACGTATTTAAAGAATTATATAGCACTCGTCTGTTTTCTACGCTATTCAACAAATTTAAAAGTTCAAAAAATTGCCTGCCATAACCACACTTGTGTGCGCATAAGAAAAAGAGAAGCATACATTTATGAGCACGTACGCTGCGTATTTTCTGTGAAGTTTCCGTTATAAAAACAAACAGTACTTTCAACTAAAATTAACACCAATAAAAAGTATGTATAAGTATTCAAAAACCACAACTCACGTTTGACATGCGCAGCAGAAGCAATAATAAAATACGAGTTTTTATTGCGCCGCCCAAAAGCAGGCAACAAGAAATGTAATTAAGACAAAACCATAGAGAACGCAAAACATATTGCCTGCAAATAAACATTGATATAACTTTGCGCTAGCAAAGACACTAAAAACACTAACACACACAACGAGAGCGTCGAAAAAGCTGCCACGCGCAGCGCAGTGTCATACAAATATTAATATGCAATAACTGCAGAAATTAATATTTTCATTAGCGGCAAGCGGCAAATAGATTATAACAAAACGAAATAGTACGCGTAAAAGAAGATGAATGTGGGCGTAACGCCTTAAAATATGCACACATGCATCTTATGTAGTTGAAAGTTGCCAGGGAGTTGTGGTTAAAAAGTTGCAAGCTTATTGCTGCCACATTGCACGAGGCGCCTTTTTGTTGCATGTTGTGCATTAGATTGCGAGTGACGCCTAAAACACAGGTTATTTACCACAAAAAAAAACGATATACACACGCCAACAAAGACACATTAGCTGCGAGACTTTTAGCTGTGGGTGTATAGTTATTTTATAGTCATGTGGCAGCTATAAAATTGCGGCAAAACATGTGTAGGCGGTGCATATACAAGTATGTAAAAACAAGTGTAACTGTGCATGTGTGTGTGTTTCTGTGTGTTTGTGGCAAAAGCTTTTACACCTAAACGCTTGCTTCTTGCTATGTATGTGCGTTTCTTTTATCTGCTGCCCTGCTCGCATGCCACGCATACGCCAACAGAAATTTTGCGGCAAAAGCACATTGCAACCTTATGAAATTTTAGCGCTTAGGATGCTTAATTAAAAAAGTTTCATGTGCAACAACTTTCAACCACTCAACAAATACAGCTGTAATACATTTAATATACAGAGATATAAAAATAAATATATACGTACACAAATACATGCATACATACATACACATATACATACATAAACATATATATGCTTCTGTATGTGTGTATGGCCTCTGACTTGAAAATAAAACAGCGCGGTAACTCTTACAAGTGCTGCACAATCGTGTTGGTGGAAGAAGTTGCAAAAGGTGCAGATAGCGCAAAATTTTTACCAACTGTTTTATTTGTGTGTTTGTTTTTGTACACTCCTACATTTCATTTGCTTCATTTGCCCGTGTAATGGTGGTGAATTAACCATCGCTAGGTGACCATAATAAAAAATATTAGCATTGTGAGTTAACTGAGAGAGCGCATTCCCAAGTAGGTTATTTATGATACAATTAAGACTACTTCAAAAGTAATTAGTTTGCAACTAGTTAAGTTTTTTTAAATTTATTTAATTAAATTTCCAAGTAAAATCAATAGAAAATAATTAAATTTAATTCATAGCGGCCTTCTGCGTAGCTGAAACTTACAAAAAAAAATCTCTACCGGAAAAGAGTGTGCTAACATTAACCTATTGCAAAAACAAAAATTTACAGAACGCTTCAAAAAAAAATTTATTTTACCCAATAGTTTGCTAATTTCGGCCTGTCAAAATTCGATTTTTGAGCAGATCAAAAACCTGGTTGATTATTATGGAGAGCTATGGTGTATACATATTTATCTTTGTCAAATCGGTTTACGACGGATGTTTTCGCGCATACGCCTCAAAACGCTCAAATAATACTCTTTATAGACAGTCTGTTCAGTTGGAACGAATTCATGATGAACCAAACCGCGAATATCGAAAAAAAAACAAATTTCGGAAACTTTCTGGTCTTACTCTTGCTACATAGTATAATGAACTAATACCTCGTAAAATTTTTTTGTTTCCAAAACTCAAGTTACCACACCATGGCACCCGTTTCGACTCGATTATGGCCGTAAAAAAAAGATTCGCAAAGCGTACTGAAGGCGATCCCGAACAACGCCTACAAAGCACGTAGCCAAATGCATATATATTAACTATTTTCCAGAGTTTAATAGTAAGCTGGTGTCTGCTCTGGCTCGTTCATCTGCTACACAGTTACCAGGAATATCACTATGTCGCAGCAACAGTTGCAGATTTATTATGAAACAGGATGTTAGATACACTAAAAGATCAAAAGAGCCTTTCTTTACCTAAATTTAATGAAACCTTTAGTGATTTCAAAGGCAAGCGGCTATTATTATATAAATATAATGCTTGTTGTGAGCGCTCTTTGTCAGAACAAAAAGCTTTCTTTGATTGCAGTGATTCCTGCTTGATAGACACTAAAATGATCTGGTAGTCAGAAGGCGATTATGGTATCTAATTTTATTGAAAAGACTATACCTCTCACTCGCTTATCTAGTTTGAATTATATATAAATATAATGCTTGTTGTGAGCACTTTTTGTCAGAACAAAAGGCTTTCTTTGATATCAGTGATTCCTGCTTGATAGACACTAAAATGATCTGGTAGTCAGAAGGCGATTATGGTATCTTATTTTGTCGAAAAGACTACACCTCTCACTCGCTTATTTAGTTTTGAGCAATCCGTTTAGATACTTATTTATGGGTCTTGGTCCTCCTCATCCCTATTTCACTCTTTTCTGAAGTGGAAAGCAAAATTTGGGGCCGAATCTAGATAATTTTCTAAAGGATTACGAAAATACGTGGTTTTGTGTATAAACGAGAATTTGCTAAGCATACTAAAATGTCTCTTATTACAAGTGACTAATATGGAAGCTTCATTTAGTCTGAGTGCCGACTTCGTTGTCAGTTGCTTACAGAACAAGTCTGTGGGCAGTAAATAATAAAATATCGTGTTTAAGTTGGTTTTCGATGAGAGCTTGTGCTCTAAAATTAAAAGCTTGCTAATGGTGGCGTGCAATCTGAAATTCTGTGCTTGCTGGCTTACGAGCCACCGATTTATATAATTTTTGCAAATAATTAGCGAAGATACTTGGAAATTCAGCTTTACCTATAAAAAATTGAAAATTTTGTCTTACTGAAGTTTTCTTTAAAATTTACATAAAAGCTTATATTCTTTGTTTGAGAAAACCAGCACTTTAATTATGTGAATTATTACCTAGAAGAAATCACAATATCTTTTACTTTTACTCTTTAGTTTACCTTAAAGACTTTGTATGAGAGATCAGATATCACTTGATCGAAACAAACTTTATATTCTTCCCGTAGAGTTTTGTAGTATGTTCACACTTCCAAGAGCGCTGGCATTGTAATTTATAGAACTTAACTTCTTTATGTCCAATACTCTTTATATTATATTTAAAAATTTCAAGCAATGGCTTTTGTAAGCATTCGGTGATGAAAACATAAATATATTTAAGGAAAAACAGAATCTAGATATTTTATGATTATAAGGACTGTGTTCACATTTATACTAAGAGCCGCTTGTGCAGGGTAAACATTTTGCGTTACTTTTTATGGAAGAGAGCTTATAATTTATTGCTTTCATTTTAAGCAAGTCTGATCTCAACCGATGAATCAAGAGGAAAACAAAATAATTAGAGATAAAATGAATCAAGAAGATAAGAAAAAATAATTAGAGTTAAAATGGTTTAACTACAAATTTTTTAAAAATATTTTATAAAGATATTTAGAATAAAATTGTTATTATTTAATAAGTTTATACATAAGTGTGTACAAAGTGCGTATGTGTGTAATCACATATTGCATTGTCTTTATCACACCGTATGCGCCGGTTGTTATGCAATAAAAATGTTTAAGGAAATCATAAAAAAGCGGACGAAAGTTGTGAGCAATTACAAAATTACATATGCAGATACATATGTACATACAAACATACATACACAAACAACTATATACATACATACACATATGAACACACATGCTTGCAAACGTAGCGCGCGTTTATTAGTATGCGTGTCAGAAGCGAGAAGTTTGCAGTTGTTGCTTCTCTGTGTTTGTGCTGCCACAACTACTTTATTCCACTGCAATTCAATCGTACAACAAACAACTTTTCCACTAATACATATGTACATGCATACAATTATAGACATTTTATTATTTTACTACACGGTTTTGTTAGCAATTTTATGATTTTATTTGCATTTTTATTTTAACAACTTTTTTCTTAGTTTCCTTTGCATTACTTCGCACAATTCCCCAGTTAAATAATAGCTCGGTGTGAATCTAGTGATCGCTGTAAATGTGTGCGTGTGTTGGCGAATGGCTTTTGCAGCTGCTACGGCCGCCGGCTGTGCGCCTTAAAGTGCGCAACAATAAAAATGGTTACATGTTAACTGGGATTTGTTTATGCCTTTCTCTGTAGTTGCTTAACTGTTTCATTGTCTTTATATGGCACTCTATGCAAAATTGTTGTTTGATGCATGCATTGTTATTTGAAATTAGTTTGGTAAAATGTGTGAAATAGTAGCTAGTAGAGTCAGTGTTAGACGAGGAATAGAGTAGTAAAATGTAAATGAGATATATACGTATAATACGTTGGGCTAGGATATGTAATAAATAGGAGCAATAGCAAGAAAAAAATAGTATAAATAACATGAGAAAGATTGGTCCGCTCATTCTATAAGCACAAAACCCGACATGGTAGCTACAGACTCTAGAAAAACTATAATTAAATTCATGATTGTAAGCTAGCTACATTTTCAGATAAAGTATCATGTTGAGGTGATAAGATTTCCTTTTCTTAATTTAGAAACTATTTTAAAAAATTTTACATAACAAAAGAAAACATTGCCTACACCTAGGCGCAGTTATTATTACTATATTAACTGTTATTTACTAGTAAGATCCGACCACGCGCTGCTGTGGCTATGATATACATTAAATATTCTTATAATAAACTATTCAATACAGTGAATAATATTTACGTATAAAGGCGAACACTTTCTGGAAGTTATGAGAATCCAAGCGATTGTATATCAGGTTTAATTTTGACAATTACGCACACAAATAGTGGTCAATTGAAGAAATAATAAACTTTTTGTTTGGCATTTTACTGAAAATTTAGTTTTATAATTTTTTTTTTTTTGTGAACTATGTTTTTTTATTTATGCATTGTTTTACTTTTAATATAGTTGATATAAACTATGCTACCTTTCAATGCGACTCAAACTGGACACAGTGCGGTTAGTTTAACTAAAATCGGTTCAGTAGTTTAGGAGATAACCCCGAAGAAAACATGACACATAATTTTTATATATTTATATACATATATATTATATAATTGTATATAGTTAGCCAAACATATTTAAACTACTTCTTACAGAGCTCAATTTACCTTTTCTTATTAAAAAGCATATGAAAATTTTCCAAAAACATGATAAGGCGTTGCCTACATCTAGGCGCAATTAATATATAATATATAGTTTTTTTATATACATTTAAAGTCAAAATTATTAAAATGACTTCGTACAAAGCTATTATTCATTTGGTATTTCACGAATTCAGCCACCTATTTATATAATTCGTTAAACATATTTTTCTATGTGAAAATTAATATAATATTAATACACTATTCAGAGTGGATACGAAAAGTTTCTGTACAAAATATCAGCAAATATTTGTACAAAAATTTTGTTGCCCAGATTTTGGTCTTCAATAGGGTGGATTGAAAAAAATTTTTTTTTTTGCTTCGCCTGAGGGTCCAATTTGTAGATTTTAAGTAGAAAATTTTTTTTTTCTAAAATCTAGAGGCGGCTCACTCCCTTTTAAAGTAAATTTGGAGTTAAAATTCTTTTTTGGTTTAAACTCTTTACATTTATATAAAAACTAACGAATTTGTACGGTTTTTGACTCAAAATTTATTTTAACGCTTAGGAAAGCATGTTGTCGTTTAAGACAGTTTTTAAAACTCCAATAATGACCACAAAAAATTTTTTTAAGTTGATAACTTTTAATTGGCCAGAAAAAGGACTCGTCACAGCTTATAGAACCTTATCAAAAATTTTTTACGAAATGAAATTTTAACTCGAAACTAGATGTTAAAAAAATTTTATTTATTTATTCCAAAAATTTTCTTTTTTTATAATCTACAAATTTGACCCTCAAGCTAAGCAAACAAAATATTTTTTTTTCGCTCCACCCTAGTGTTTATAGTGGTACAACATTCAGTTTTTATGAATTTCAACAGCAAAAATAGGGGAAAAAATTTAATATTACTAACATCTTAAATTTATAATTTATTGTTGCATGTGAGATATTTTAAAGACTTCAATTTTATAAATAGTATAAGGAATTCTACGTTGGAGAAAACCTGGCGTTTCTATTAGAAAAATCTTGAGTAGTAATAAATATAGTTTAAAAAAACTGAAGACACACGCTTTTAAAGAATATCGAACTAAAAAGTTGAAAAAAATTTTAAAAATTAACTTAAACAAATAATATATAAAAAATACTAGTATAGTTGAGGAAAAAGCGTGGAGCGCTCGATATACGAAAATTATGACAAAAAGCGCCTTAAGCCTTTTCCTCAATTATACTAGTATTTTTTATATATTATTTGTTTAAGTTAATTTTTAAAATTATTTTCAACTTTTAAGTTCGATATTCTTTAAAAGCGTGTTTTTTTAATTTTTTTATTTTAAACTATATTTATTGTATATTAATTGATAGTTGTTCGATAGCCATCGCAACACTAATCTTACTTTCAGTAAATATTGAAAACAAAGTATTTTGCATAAAAATTTTTATTTTCATGTTATGATTCTTTCAAACAATTTTTTTAAGCTATTGAATAGCTTTCATCGCGGGCTTTGAGCGCGGTACCGAAGCAGTTCTGTCTGTTCAGTTGATTTGTTCCGTTTGAGATATCAAAATATGCCTAAAAGTATGCAAACATTTTGCGCATACTTTGTAATCGAGTTTAGTTTAGTTACAAATGCATCAGAATTATTTTTTTTTGTTGTTTGCTAGGCAGTGTAATAAAAGTACTTCATTTGTTTGTACATTTATGTCAAAGTTAAAAAAAAAATAGTATATAAAAAAAATAACAGTCGAAATATGTAGCTCCTATTTCAGTTTAAATAAAAAAATTCAGTTCATTTAATAAAACATCGCGCGATGCGCGATTTAAATCAAATATGAACAAATTATTAAAAATGTATAATCATGTTTGTTGTTGAAGTTAGCGTTTGGAACTTTTTAATTCCTAGTTTTCTAAATAAATTGAGCAAGTACTCACATTTAGCTCATCTACCACTGCTTATGCCTTCAGCAAACAATTTGTACAGTCACTCTGTAAAGAAAATAAAAAGAAATAGGTTAGTTCTTTACTGTCAATCCAATACAATATTTGTTTATGTTTTATTTTTTTTTTGAATTTACTTAAAGAAAAATATTTATAAATAAAAACGACTGGCTTTTGGCATTTTGTTTCCACGGTGATCGGTTCTATCTAAACTGGATTTAAACCCTAGCGAGAACTGTCAACTCGGCAATACTCTACAAAAATATTCACTAAGATTAAAAAGGAAAAACTTTTATAATATAATATTTAATATTAAAATAAAAATATTTCTTTTATTTATACTTGAATATAAACATAAATATTATGGTATTTTAACACTGTAATTAAAATGTGCAATGATAATTCTCATACAATTTGCTTTCACACCTTTTTAAAATTTTTTTCTTTTTGTATATTTCAGGCAATTCATTCAAACTGCTGACGTAGCTGAACCCTATTCACTTACAGTCGCTATGAACTTCTTTAATGGGAGCTTGCTAAAACATTTATGGTAACCGAATTAATAAAAAATGCGGCTAAGTGCAATGTTGCCAAAAAAAAGTTGGACATTAATGTGTTTGTAAACTCGAATTTTAATAATCAAGCCAACAACACAGGAAAACTGTTTAACCTTTCGGAAACGCTCACAGTTGAATTATGTTAAGGCAGCTGAAGAGTTTTCGTAATGTTTTTATGGGTTTATATAGAAAAAATAATCATTTCAGAAAACAATTGTTGTAGTATTTGAAAAAATATTCAATATTATAAGAAAAAGAAATATATATTACAATAATTAAAAAAAAATTTAATTACATCATAACAATAAAGAAAAAAAAATAAAAGTTTCTTTCAAAAAATGATAACATTATAAAAATATTATATTATGATCTAGCCGGAAGAAAAAATTTGACCTTCAAAATATCTAAGAACCAAAAAAAGTTGGAGCCAAATCAACAGGCAGGATACATATATGTACCATATATATTAAATGTATACAAAATATTAATTACATATACCATAGATAAACATATATATACATATATATTATACTTATACAAACTATAATATTGAAGAGATAAATGAAATTACTATAAAAGAGAAAATTAGAGATTTAAAAAATCGGTAAAACACAAGTTTAACTACCACACATTGGACAATAAAAATATTGTACAGAAAGATTTATATAGAAGACTTATTTTTTTTACTTAATGTACGGATTTTTAATAATTTTTGTATACGTATTTCCAATGTAAATATATATAGCTTTTAGCTATAATATATATATTTTTTTTTAATTTAAATATATACATTTCCAAGTGGCTCAAAATGGTTGTGAAATTGTAAAAAATATTGTGAGTAGAAATAAATAAATTTAAATAAAAATCTTTTATAATATTTTTATTTTTTGATAAAGGGTTTAATCTTTAGCATTGCTTACACTTAATCAGTTGAAGATGTTGGAATCTCTATAGAGATCTTGTTTTCTTAGACACATTTTTTTATTTAATTCGACTGTGTTCTTAAAGGAGAAAGTATTGTTTATATATTGACTAACAATTTTATACAACAAAAGTAATTTCTCGATCATAATTACTCTACTAGGAAATCGAAAAATGGCATAAACCTCCAGATTATTATATTATTTGATGAAACTTTACTAAATATATTATGTTTATAAGGTGACCAACTTCTAATCCGCATTAAAAACCATAAACTCCACAACTTAAATAGCTGTAAGATTCTTCTCTGCCAGAATAATATTTAATTTAGTTCTGATTTCATTAAACACTTTAGAAAGCAGTATCTAAATTCCGTTAATAGCACTTTGAGATATTTTATATACGCACTGCTGGTAATAGGTAAGTAATACGCTTTTTTCTCGTTTAACGAATGAAGTATACAAAGCAATAACAAGCACGCTACTCACAGCAATCCTTCTACATATATAATATATATTAAAATCATACGTTTATAAAGAATACACCATATCCACATAACACCGTGCAGACATAAAAAAATATGTATATAAAACAGAGTTTAAATGTGCTCACTCAGCAGACCCGAGAAATTTCAATAAAATCCAAAATTTTGTCAGCTTGCGTTTTGTTTGCTTTGACTGTATGTGATTGGCTAACTTTTCAATGGTTATGACATAATTATGAACATTTGTGCCACAACGTTGTAAATTAAAACAATATTATCGCAGTAGACAAATACGCACGAGAGTGTAGATTTGCATGTGGCGGCATACTACGGCATAATTATATAAATGTGTGACACAGCAGCCACTTCAAATATATAGCATTTAATAAGCAGCATGACTGAAGGGTTAAATAGCGTCATTGTGGAGGGTGGTGAATATGTTTGAGTAAACTTTTTTATGACTTTATGAGTTTGAATTTTGCGTGCAATGTTGCGACGCTGGAAAATTTAATACATATAATATATCATTTATAATATATATGTGTGCAAACAGCCGTTTTAAATTTCAGCGGTCACAAATGTTGCCCAAAATATAAATAAACTTCTTAATATGAGGCATGTTGCATATGTTGGTAACAAGCTTTGTATCGATCTAGTCTAAATGTTGGAATTAGCGCTTCTTAAAAGTGTGATCTTCAAACTTTGCCAAAAATTCATACCGAACTAAGGAAAGTATCGCCGTGATTTTATTCATTTAAGGAAAGAGGACTGTTATTAGAAAAAGATTATTTCTAAACTTCATTAGGATTCCTTAAATACTGACCGATAGATGCGGTATAAAGAGGGTATGTTAGGTATATGGGGGTTAAGGGAAGCGTTGAACTACTTTTACTCATATTTGGCACAGGTTATAGTGCGATTGCAATAATTTTTGAACGTAAGATGAAATACCTTACAGGCACTATTTGTGCTAAGCTGTGTTCTTCCTGTACAAATTAAAGTTTTCGTTTAATGGCATTTTGTTGGCGTGGCAATGCTCCGATTCTGCCCATTTGCAATACCAACCTCCCTGGGTTGCCAAGGAAGATGTGCATCAAAATTTATCAATCTCTTTTATCTCAATTTTTATTCAAGTTATCGCTTGCACGAACAGACGGATGGACAGACAGACCCGGATTTTAACTTGTCTCGTCATTCTGATCATTTATATATACAAGTATATATATAATATATAAGATAGATATATATATATGAACACGGTCGCTCAGTTAAATCAGCCCTTTCAGTTTATTAATATAACAATATTTATTAATATAATAATATAATAATATAATGTTATATTAATAAGCTGAAAGGGCTGATTCAACTGAGTGGCTTCTTTTTAGAAAGCTGTAACTCAAAGAATATTTGGGATATCGATTTAAAAATTTAAAATAATATTTTGAAAGATATAACCTAACGAAAATCTATTGTTATTTATTTTTTAACATTAGTTGTAACTCTGAAAGCCTACTGTGCTCAGCGAAATATATTAGACTACTAGAGGCTATATGATTTCAACATTTAGTCAGACGGCAAAATTTAGTTGTTCAGTTGCAATTATTTTTAGCACTCTTTATTTTCGGTTCGAGCATGTGCCATTTCCAAACCTAAAAGCGTCATCTAAATATTTGGTAAATTAATTTCATAAACTAGTATAATACCTAAAAATAAATATAGTAAAATACCTAAACATAATAACTATAAATTTACTTTATTTATATTTTTCGATTCTAGTCAACTTTGATACTTCAGTTTGGGAACCCCTGTTCGACAAATGGATTTTGTTTTATTTTATAAAAAAAACCTTTCATGACAAATATATACTTAGTCTTGCCATAAGTTCGGTCTTCGGTTCGTTCAGGCCGTTATTAAAATTAAACTATAATTATAATGCATTTAACATATATGTATATATTATATTAAATGAGCGATTTACAAAATTAAACTACGTGTGCAAAATATATACTATTAAACATATGTATATTCTAAAATACTACTCCCAGGAGCTTCCCTCTTGCATTTCTAATTTTCAATTTCTTCTTAACGTACTTTTCGGGATTTTTTCAAATTTATAATTACTCTACAAAAGTTCCAAGAAAAAATATATTGAGTGCATGCACTTTTTTTCTCATATTTCATCTTTTGTATCATACTACTAAGCTATTGGATTTATGTAAGTATGTTTTCATATTTTTCCATTCATTTCTAAGTATCCTCTTCTAATATATCCTTAGTAATCCTATTTTAGAGTTCTTATGCTTTTAATTAGACCTACCTGCCAAAAAGTAGGCTAATATTTGAAAATATGTATAGCATATACACCATCAAGAGGCAGTAAATTAACGCATTCGTATACTTTTCATATAATACTACTCTACGCAGTATATACATAGGGACTTTTTAATGAGCTATATTATCCAGATAAATATACATATATACAAAGCCAAAATAATTTTGTATAAAAAGAAAGGTTTTTAAAATTCCCTCATTCTCTAGCTTTAACATCCTTAAATGTATCAAACAAAATAAACAAATGCAGATAATAAATTTTGTTGAGTATTTTTTGCTTTGCAAATTTTGTAAGAACATTAGACAAAATCTGTGCATAGTCGGTTTATATATATATATGAGCATACTCATTCTATGTACATACACAAAGGCTTTTTGTGCGCACAAAGACAATTTTTAAGTAGCAACCAAACATGAAAATTATTATTATTGCGATTATCAGCAAGCTAAACGCACAAATTTCAAATATGTAATATAATTACATAAATATGTATATGCATAAGCGCGCATGCATAGTATTAAGCAACTAAATACACACATACTAACATTATATAAGCTGAAGAAAGGCATATGTGCCTATATGTATGCTTGCATACTTGCGCTACGTGTCAAATTACGACGCCGCCGGAAGATATGCTTTATGTACTTTTTTTACAGACTTATAAGTATATATGTGTGTATATGCGTATGTATGTATGCCTACACATATCGTAATATAACGCAACTGCTAACACACTCCGTGACATATTTTAAACTGTAGCGTGTATATGCCTCAAGTTTGCTTATGCGCCTGTGTTTATGTTAGCATAATCTAATCTGTCACGCATACGCCTGTAAATTACGTAGCGCCCTCACAACAATATAGCCACAACCATGCCCTTTTGCCATAACAACGCATTGCTAGTAGATTGCTGCCCCACGCCGCTGACTCCAGTACATGCTTCTGTGCTTCCTACCCACACGCACTGCCGTTTGACGCATATTATTTTTCGTTTATGTTTCGTCAAAAATTACACACAAAATGTGACAGCTTTGTACACCGCAAATCATATTGCCGGTTTTTTTTTCTGCAAATATTGTACACAAGTACCTGTGTTGTTGTTAGCCTCAGCATCGCTTTATTTCACATATTTTCTTACTCGGTTACTTAGCCGTCGCCGTTACAGTTGCTTACTTCGTTTTGTTAGCTACTTGGCAGGCAATTTACGTTCCGTTGTATTTGACTTCCGGTGGTTTTACGCCTGCTACCACACAAGCATAATCCTCCTCACGTGTAGCACCACGAGGAGCTTTCACACACCTTTTGTCTAAGCAAAACGCTCCTTTTGTAGTTGTTGGTTTTTCACGTCTCTTCAGAGTCGAGCTGCGGATTGGGGATTTCTACATCTTGTCGCATACTAAATACATACAAACATACACACACACATGTATATACACATGACATGTGGACTTAGGTTTGTTTATTATCCTTCCGTTGCCTTGGCATTGTTACAATATTTTGTCACGTGTCAGCTTCATTGCTGCACGTACTTTGGTTATTTATTTTTTATATTTCTTTTCTTAAAAAAAATCTACATTTATACTTAATAAG